ATAGAAGCTGGCAAGTCCAAAGTTCCTGAATCAAATGTCAAGCTGGAGGCTTTTCCCGACTCTTGCAGCTGCAGGGGCTGAGGAGCTCAAGGTTGGCAGGCAGTATACTGGCTGTTGACTCCAACGAGTGATGAATCCAAGATCTCCAGGCCGAATGGTAGATTGTTCACTCATGGACATTTGTAGGCAGCACAACAGAATTCCTATCCACAGAAGAATGTCCCTTTTCCTGGAATGTCTATATACATACTGGAAGCAAAGCACACCCTTAGGGAAACTCCCTTTCAACAGATTGCTTGCTCAAAACATAATCATCTGATCCTGTCACGGGAATAACTACATCACAGCAGCTTTTAAAACACACAGAATTATGGTCCAGCCAAGTTGACACACAGCTCCAACTATCACATATGGGAAGCAGCCCACATCTCTAAAGCAGCTACTCAGCTGCCTGTGGTAGATCCCACCATGGAGTTGATTGTCAGTCTCATTATGGGGAATAACTATATTTATCCTAAGCCTACTTTGTAGGAGGTCTGGTGGTGTAGTGCCTAAGGCATTTGACTGCTAACCAGAAGGCTGGTGGTTCAAACTCACCAGCCACTTCTTGGAAGGAAGATTGGGCAATCTACTTCTGTAGTGATACTACCTTGGAAACTCAAGGAGGGATCTCTGTGAGTTGGGTTTGACTCGACCACAATGAGTTTGTTGTTTTGTGGAAGCCTACTTGTAATAATTCTGGAAGTTAGTAAGCAAAGCTCCCTTAACCAAATTAATGTCGTTTTATAGAGTTTGATCATACTAGCTTTCAAACTAAGTATTTTATGTTTTTTCAATTTCTGCCTTTCTGTTCCTACAACAAAGGTTTGAACTCGTGTGTGTACGTGTGTATTGTGTGTATGTTAGTATGTTAGTAGACTAGTGCAAAAAGGCATAGAGGCAACATCCTTCCCTGACTTCCTCTAACTTACAAGTGGAAAACAGAACCACCATCACCAGCCCAAAGCTGCTTCCTATGAGGCCAGACATGCTGCCATCCTCCAACCCTTTAACCAGTTCTGACACCAGCCGTCCCCCTCATGGCACTCACTGTTCTGCTGGGTTTGATGATTTATTGCAGTGGCTGCACACAACTCACAGGCAGTACTCACAATTACGGGGTTTATCAGGGAAGTAACAGGCTACCGTTCAGGTTCAGGAATGCTCAGGATACAATTCTTTGACCAGGACAGCCTCCCCTCAGTCATACCTTCAGGCACGACTCACTTTGGCTCTTGGACTCTTGGCCTGGCCTCTGCCCTGCTCCGACAAGTGTTATAAAGCTCTTTTAGCTCTGCTGATAGGTACTCCTAGGTGCATCCCAATGTGCCAGCGAGCCTCCTCCCAAAGGTACTCAGCTTTCTTACACTATGGCCTGGCATGCCCCCTGCCCCGTCCGTGCCTCTCGGTTCTGCTGCTGTTTCTCTGCCAGTCGTCTCTGCCGAGCAGCTCCAGTGCAAGGATCAAAGGATGTGCTTCATTCTACCTCCATCTTTTCTATCCTTTTGACAGTGAAATCCCCTTTGGGTCTTTGGGTCTTGTGGCTGTTGATTTGAAGCTATTAACCTTGTAGTTTATCAGTTAATATTTGGGTTATTCTCCTTTATGCTTGTGTCATTGAAAACCATCCAGCACTTTTTCTTTTGATTTCCTTAACTTTAAGAGAATACTCTGAATCTTAGCTTAGCATTTTATTGTTCAGAAATCTTCCCAAGCAGATAAGGGAGAGGAGCTGTAGTGGGGAGGGTTTTGTGAGGAAGTATTTACAAAGGTACATAAGGAAACTTTTTGGGGTGATGCATTTGGTCATTATTGTGATTGTGTTGATGGTTTCATGGTGTCTCTCTCTATAAAACCTTATGAAATCATATATTTTATGTATAGTTTATTATGTCAATTATAACTAAATTTTAAAAAGACTTTCCAAATACTATGAACTGCTTCAGGGCAGAGCTCATGTTATGTCTTGGTAGTCTCAATACATGACATAGTAAGTCTTAATTCAGCTATTTAAATAGAAAGCTTGGGAATTTCACTGTGCATCTCATATTCCAGGCCAAGGATTGTGTCTTAAAGAGTTCTTCTCTAGTGTATATGTGGTTGCATGCACATAAAAGTAAAAATTTTTTAATTATCTAAGGAAGGTCTAGGTATTATTTCTCTTTTTGTTTTGAGACGATCTAGGCTAAAACATGCCTATTAGATCAATTCTGGAATTGAAATATTTTGCTCAACTCTGTATTCATGATGACTTTTTTTTTTTTTGGCCCTAATTATAGACCCTCCTTCCCAATACCTCGGGAATAGGCACAGACAGAGGACTGATTTCCATTCTTAGACCAAAGCAGAGTATGTGCACGTGGTACTTAGAGGCTGCAGATGCTGGGCCTGTCCAAAGTATGGCTATTCCACTCTCTTATTCAGAAAGGGGTAAGCTTCTTCTTTGACTCTTACACTTCAGAAGGAAGGATAATATGGAGCATGTAGATGAACTTTAGAGAAAATTATAATTAAAAGTGCTTATTACAAGAACAATTTGCTGAATCAGGTTTTAATAGCAAAGGAACCAGAGAATGACCATGAAGATTGAAATCTCAGGTAATGACTAAAAGAATACATTTATTCCTTCTAAAAACATTTAAGGAGCCTTTGAAGAAGCAGTAATAGAAATATGTGACATAGCCCGAAATTCTTGAGTTGCTCTTCTAGGCAGAGGAAACAGTAAGCTTAATGTCATGAAGGTGTAGAAGAAGAATCGTGTATTGGGGGAATGATGGATAGTGAGGGTGGCTGGAGCCAGAGTATGAAGTGCCTTTTATACCATTTGAGGTTTGTACTCTCTTCTGTGGGTTCCAGATGAAGCATAGAGAATTTTTAAGCAGAGAAGTGAAGTGCTTTGTTTTGTCTGTTAGAAAGCAAACTCTAGAAGCAATGTGTACTAGATTAGAGAGAACCTAGCATAGTTAGGAATATTAGCACACCTTTGAGGGGTCAGAGTGAGAAATGAGGATCCTGAACCATGAGAGGGGAGATGGAGAAGAAGGTCTGGACTTGAGATGTTTGGAAGGTAGATTTGATAAGGCACAATGACCAGTGATTAAAGATTGTAAGTGGGGAACCTGGGCTTCCCATTTAGGTAGCTGGGAGCTAGTGATATAAAACAGGTGTAGGAACAGAGTTGTTCTGATGGTAAATGTTTTGGGGAATGTGATGGGGAGATAGCAGTTTCCTTTTCAGACATAATGAATCTGAGATTCCCATAGGACATTCAGATGGAAATGCCTAGTAGATAGTTTAAAATAGAGACCTGGAGTGGAGGGGTGAGATTAGATATGGAGTTATTACTAAATAGATGTTTGTCTAGGAATGTAGGTAGAGATTTAGGGGGAAAAAAATAATAGATGCTTTTGTGGTACCTACTACATGCAAGACATATGGTTTTGGAAGATACTGCTTTGGAGTAGGCCCAAGACTGAGAGGTAGGAGGAGAGCCAGGAGGCTATGCTTTCAGCAAGGAGTGGTAAATAGTATGTTGCAGAGAGGTCAAGAGAAGTGACTAAAAATGTGTGTATTATAGTGCAATTAAGAGTCAATGGTGACCTTTAATGAGAATCATTTTAGTGGAGTAATATGGATGAAAGGAGCTCTGGTAGCATAGTGCATAAGGCACTTGACTGCTAACCAAAAGGCAGGAGGTTCATACCCACCAGCCACTCCTCGGAAGGAAGGTTGGGCAATCTACTTCTGTAGTGATACCGCTTCGGGAGTCCAAGGAGGGGTCGTCATGAGTCGGGCCCAACTTGACAGCACATAACCACCAGCACAACAATGATATGGATGAAAACTGGTTTGCAGAGACTGAGGAGTGAATGTTAATGACAAAATTTAGACTGTTAAATTTTGGCAGTAAAGTGATGGTGAGGCAACAATGGGTAGTAAAGGAGATAAAATCCAAAAAGTTACCAAAGTTGAGGAAAGAAAATGCTGTACTTGGTGAACAAGTACAGTATCTTCAAGCTTCTATCAAAGTACAATGGACAAAGCAAAATTATGCTTAACATTTTCTAGGATATAGTAAATACTTGGAAATGCAGGAAAAGGAGAGTCTGAAAGAGCACTGAATTTTGAGGCAGATTCTACACGTTGACATATATGTCCATGCTGTGTATCTCCTTTCCAGATTTGGCCAGAGGAAGTCACCCATCAGGATTCTAAAAATTTGTAGAAGACCCAACTTTGGGAATGATTATATGAAGTTGTGATCTCATAAATATTTAAATTATTGTACCCTATTCTGTCTCACCTCAGCTTTTCCACCTGAGTGTACTATTTATTGTTCTTTACGTGGAATTGAGCTAATGTCAAGTGACTAAGTTTCATCATGCTTAAAGGTCATGAATAAAATTTCTAATAAGAAAAGATCTGCTTTAGCCACATTGTTAATAGAAATGAAGTACCCAAATTATATTTAGTTTTTAATTAGACGCCCAAATGCTGTTCCCAGAAAATCTTGAGGGATCTTGAAGTCCTTAATTTTTACTGTTTAATGCATACACAAAGACTGTTCTAGTTGTGAACTTTCGCTGTTTCTGCCTTCCTGGTGTAAGCAGCATGTGAGAAATGGACATCCCTTCCTCTATTACCATGGAGTTTCTTTTCTTTTTGGCAGCATTTTTTCCCCTCTAGTCCTATGTTCTTAAGCTTTCAGAAGTCAAAGACATCAAAACTTAAATAAAAACCTCTCTCCCTATGAAGTGCATGAACTCAATATTTAATGTATAATTTTAGGGTATATGTGAAGCTCTTGAAACACATCAGCTTGGGAATCTTGTCTATTCTGACACTTTTACTCTAAAGAAGAGGTTGGCCAGTTACAGACCATGAACTAAATCTAGTTTGCGCCTATGTTTGTACATAAAGTTTTGTTTGGAATACAGTATGCCTATTCATTTATATATTGTCTGGGGCTGCTCACAAGGGCAGTTAAGTAGTTGAGACAGATTGGCAGGCCCACAAAGATTAAAATATTTATTATCTGTCCCTTTACAGAAGAGGTTTGCTGAGTCTTGCTCTAGAGCTCTTAACTTCAGTTAACCTTACCCTCTTTAACCTCAGTTTAGGAGATGGTACAAAACTAGAAGCTCTGAAGAATATTTAACTTTTACCTGGGAAGTTCTTATAAGAGGAAAGTTCTGTTTTCTGAGTATGATTTGGACTTAAAAAAATTCTCTTTAGTAACTTGTTATTTGTTTTTCATCTAGATCCTGTCCCTGGAGGCTGTAATTTAGAGTTTGATTTAGATATCGATCCCAACATTTACTTGGAATTTGATTTCTTTGAAACAGTCATCAAATTTGCCCCAGCAAACCTAGGCTATTCAAGGTATGTCTTTCTCCCATCTCCCAAACTGCTTTGAGATCGTGTGTGAATAGCTATTGTGTAGATTCAGGGAATTATCTGAATATCCATAAGTCTTTTGAATAAAATTGAATTGGTTTAAGTTTTCATTTAGAATTGGTACAATTTAAACGTAGTTACTAAGTTTTGAGTACGTATTCACAGTTAATGTTTTTCCCCCTTCCATTCTTACGAACTCCTTTATTTGACGAGCCTGATGCCAAGTCTCTATTTTGAGCTTGAAGTATAGCTTAATTTCTATAAAGAATTTTAAATATAAAAAACTTTCTGCAGCCTTGAAACACTTTTATATTTTTAGAAGGGTTTTATTTTAACTAAAATTCTGCCTTAGTTTTTACTTTAGTATTAATTGTAGGTAACATTTGAGTGCTTCTACTACTCCGTTATAGGAGCTCTGGTAGCATAGTGCATAAGGCACTTCGCTGCTAACCAAAAGGCTGGAGGTTCATACTCACCAGCCACTCCTCGGAAGGAAGGTTGGGCAATACTTCCATAGTGATAACGCCTCGGAAACCCACGGAGGGGTCACTATGAGTCAGGTCCGACTTGAGGGCACATAATGACAACACTACTTTGGTTGGAGGTTTGAGTCTGCTGACAGGCCCATCAGAAGAAAGGCCTGGTGATCTGCTTATGAAAAGTCAGCCAGTGAAACCTGTGGAGCACAGTTCTGCTCTGACACATGTGGCATTGCCATGAGTCAGAGTCTCTTAGACAGCAACTGCTTGTGCATCCTTCATGGTGCTGCGTGCTGTCTACTCTTTGCCATTTAACCCTAACAATTTTATGAAGAAGGGACAATTATTCTTATTTTCCAGAGAGGTTTCCTAATGGTTATTAATGTGATAATAACATGACTTGCTCACATGCATACCTCTAGAAATGGCAAAGCTGACCTTTTCTAGGCCCAAGTGACATCAGAATCTGATCATTAGCCACACTGCCTCTCGGTGTGTTACTTTTCTTCAGAATACCAATTATTGCCGTTGTAAAAATTGAACTTCTAAATTAGGACTGTTGAAAAGGTGTGAAATTAGAGCTTTGGTTCCTTTTTATAGATAAGCCTTGCACCACAAAAAGATTGATGTTCAGTTTTGTTGGTTGACTTTAGAGGCACAGACCCTCCACCATGTGATGTTGGAACAGGCCAGGACTCTAGGTGGAGGTTGCAGTATGATGTCTATCAGTATTTTCTGCCTGAGAATGACCTCACTGAGCAGGTGTTGCTGAAGCATCTGCAGAGGATGGCCAAAGTACCTCAAGTGAAGGCCAATGCTATCAAGGTAAATCTGATTCTCATGATTTGAGTGGCTGGATTGTGATACCTTTCTAAGTGCTGAGAAGGGGAAAAACTACCAGGAGTTTATTTCTTTGTTTTTTTGGGGGCCTTCTGGGACTATTCTTTTCAAAAGAAAACTTTTCTTCCTCTATCATCTTGGGAGTCTTTGTTAGTGATATGCTAAAATGGTGTTGGCCATTGAGATGTGTTTTAATTATGTTAATTTCTAGTTGCAAACACATATATGCCTTGGGCTCTTGAGATGTGGATAGAAGTAGGTATGCTCCCACTCTGTTATGTACTCCATGTTAGGTAAAACTTCTGGCAAGTATAAGGAATATAATGTTTTGAGAACAATTATTACCAAGAAACTGTTCAAGACTATACACATATTAGCATTAATATTTGAACTGAAATTCAGAGACTCTAATTGGGCCCACAAACATTCTCCAAGCTTTCAAGCCCCACACTCTTGCTACTCTGAAGTGTAAACCTGACCAGCATCTCTATCACCTGGTAGATTGTTAGGACTATATGTTCTTAGGCTCAACCTTAGACCAATTGAACCAGAATTTGCATTTTTATAAGATCTCCAGGTGATTCATGTGCACATTAAAATTGGAGACTCAACTGCTATAGATCATTTTCATGGAGGACAGGATTTTTTTTTTTTTGGTACCTCTCTGTGTCTTCCTCTGCCTCAGTGCCACCTTGTTGATCACTCACATTTAGTACAATGCCCTTCCCTTCACCCAAATCAATACTTGTCTCTACCTACCTAGCAGTGTTCTCCCCTCCCAACCTTGGTAACCAACAAAGAAAGTTTCCTGCCATATATAAATATTTCCTTGATTTTTTATAATAATGAACTAATACAATACTTGTCTTTCTGTGATTGACTTACTTCACTCAGCATAATGTCCTCCAAGTTCATCCATGCTATGCAGTGTTTTGCAGATTCTCCATTATTCTTTATGGTTGCAAAGTATTCCATTGTGTGTATGTACCATAGTTGGGTTATCCATTCTTCTGTTGATGGGCACCAAGGTTGTTTCTATCTTTTGCTATTGTAAATAGTGCTGCAATGAATATAGATGTGTATATATCTGTTCTTACTCTGGCTCTCACTTCTTCAGAATATATACCAAGTAATGGGATTGCTGGGTCAAGTGGTGTTTCTAATTTGGAGGACAGGATTTTTATCTTTATATCTTGAAAGACAACAAGGCCACTCATCAGTCTAATGGTTGATGGGTTCTAGACTGCTTTGATTGTTCTTGGAAGGCTAATAGATAAATTGATTATGTAGAAAGTGATTGAAACAGGGCATATGTGATTAGACTAGGGTCATTGTTCATTGCAGAGTAAGAGCTTATTTTGTTACAATGTCCCCTAGAATCGTTGCCTCATCATAAGGCAGACATTTTCCACTATGTTTTCCTGCTTGCTTTTTGGTAAAAATTCTTGCTGATTAATGTTAGTTTCTAGATGGATATTGAGTTTAATTTCTTTCTGAGAAACTCAACATAAAGACGAATTCATTTCCTTACTTCAAAATTGAGAAGCTTGGTTAATAAAGTTTATCAGTTACCTAACCTTTAAAAAAAAAAGTTTCAGGTGAAAGTACACAGCAAAGTAGTTTCCCGTTCAACAATTTATACAGCTTGTTCCATGACATTGGTAGCTATCCCTGCAGCATGTCAGCCCTTTCCCCATTTCTACCCTTCTTTTCCTGTTTCCCTCCAGTTTCCCTGCCCCTCCTTACTATCCCATCTTTCCTTTTGGGCATATGTTGTCCATTTGATCTTTTATAGTTGATTGTTCTAAGGAGAACATTCCTCACGTGTGTTACTGTTTATTTTACAGGCCAATTTATTATTTGGCTAAAAGGTGATTTTTCCCAGTAGCTTCAGTCCTAGATTTTTAAAAAGGTGCCTGAGGAGGAGAGTCTTGGAGCTCATCAATTCTCTATCAGTCCACTAAATCTGATCTTATTTATGAATTTTGGCTTTGTTCTACATTTTCTCCCATTCTAACTGGAACCTTTCTATTGTATCCCCAGTCAGAGTGGTTGGTAGTGGTAGCCGGACATCATCTAGTTCTAGTCTCAGGTAAGAGGAGTCTGTGGTTCGTTTGTGCCATTAGTCCCACGGACTGTTTGCTTCGTTGAGTGTTGGTTTCCTTCACTCTCCTTTTCTCCAGACAAAAAGAGACCAATAGTTGTCTATCTTAGATGACTGCTCACAAGCTTTTAAGACCCCAGACACTACTCACCAAACTAGGATGTAGATTATGATCTTTATGAACAGTGGTAAGCCAGTTGACCTAGATGACCCCAAGACTATGGTCCTTAGCCTTCAAGCCTAGTGACTCACGAATTGTTAATGAGTTTTCCTCCAATCCTGATGCTACATTCTTCTTCATATAGTCCAGCTTCTTGGATTATTTGCTCAGCACACAGATTGAATAAGTATGGTAAAAGGATACAACCCTGACGTACACCCTTCCAGATTTTAAACCATGCGGTATCCCCTTGTTCTATTTGAATGACTGCTTCCTGGTCTATGTACAGGTTCTTCATGAGTACAAGGAACTGTTCTGGAATTCCCATTCTTTGCAGTGTTATCCATAATTTGTTATCTGCACAGTCAAATACCTTTGCATAGTCAATAAAGCACAGGTACATATCTTTCTGATATTCTTTGTTTTCATCTAAGATCCTTATGACATCAGCTGTGATATCCTTCTTTTTTGATATCCCTCTTCAGAATCTGGCTTGAATTTCTGGGATTTCCCGGTTGATATATTTCTGTAAGCATTTTTGAATTATCTTCAGTAAAATTTTACTTGCATATGGTATTAATGATACGATTAGATAAATGCCACATTCTGTTGAGTCACCTTTCTTTGGAATGGACACAGGCGGATTGTCTTGCAGATTTCTTGGTATAAACGAGTGAGTGCTTCCAGTGCTGCATCATTTGCTGAGACATTTCGGTTGGATAGGCTATCGGTAATGGGAGCTTTTTTTTTTTGCTAATGCTTTCAGTGTAGCTTGGACTTCTTCCTTTAATACCCTTCATCTTGATCATATGCTCTCTCCTGAAATGGTTGAACCTCAACCAGTTCTTTTTGGTACAGTGACTATGTATATTCCTACCATCTTCTTTTGATGCTTTTGTATTGTTCAGCATTTTGCCTGTAGAATCTCACAGGTGCAGCTTGAGGCTTGAATTTGCCATAGTTGTCTTTATTCTTGCATACCTCTCAGTGTCTTAATTTACTTTGGTCATGTTGTGCTGACTTCCCCCAATTGTGTGTTACTTTTTCCTTTAGCAGAATTAACATGTGTCTAGTATTTAGTGATTGTCTTTCCCTCTCATCACTGATAACCATCAAAGAATGTTGATATCTGTGTGTAAACCTATTCTTGACTTTTTATAAAAGTGGTATATTTGTCCTTTTGTGATCGATTTACTTCACTGAGGATAATGTCCTCCAGAATCATCCATGTATGTTTCACAGACTCCTCATTATTCTATATTGTTGCGAAGTATTCCATTGTCTTCATGTACCTCTTGTTTTTGCTGTTGCTAATAATGCTGCAGTGAGCCTAAGTGTGCATATATCTGTTTGTGTCACTGCTCTTATTTCTCTAGGATATACACGTAGGTGTGGGATTGCTGGATCACACAGTATGTCTATTTCTAGCTTTTTGAGGAAGTGTCATACCATTTTCCATAGTGGTTGTACCATTTTACAATCCCACCAGCAGTATAAAAGAGTTTCAGTCTCCCCACAGCCTTGCCAGCATTATTGTTTCCTGTTTTTTTTTTTTTCTTTTTATCAGTGACATTTTGCAGGGGCGAGATGGTCTATCTCCTTGTAGTTTGATGAAATATGAGAATAATATCTTATGTTTAAAATTTTTGTAGTATGGTCCCAAAGCAAATAGATAACCATTATAAATTCTCCCATAGATGAGGATGTCAGTTGGGGTATATATAATCATCGTGCTCTTGAGCTCCAAATGACTAAGGCAGCATTAGCAACCTCTTAAGAATGGACAGTTCAGAGGCTGTAATGGGCTTAGTACTACTATTTAAAAGTAATGAAGCATTTTCTTTGCTTTCTGGATTCATTCACCAAATGATTTCTTCAGCAGGTCAGGTACAGATTTGCAATAAAGTGGAAAACATTTTTCTAGGAATAAAACTACTACTCCCTAAAGAGCAGTTGATTTAACTCTTGTGAATAAATCTGGGTCTGACATACCTAGATTCCTCAGAGGGCTGCAATTGCTATCTCCAGCCTCTTCCTAACCTTGCCAGACCTTTATACTTTGTGTTTACTGAATGCTCTTGACAGGGAGTCACTGTACTAGCTGTGTGACCTTGAGCAAGCTACTTCTTGCCTTAGTTTTTTTGGCTCTGAAATGTGGTAACAATACTGCACCCTGCTTCATGGAGTTGTTAACAAGGATTAAATGAACAAAGTGCTTAAAAAGACAGAGGCACAGAGGAAGCACTCAACTCTCAGCTATTATTTTTATTATTGATGTTATACAACAAAGTTTTCCCCTGTATCAACAATGAATTTTGCCCATTTTTTGATTGAATTGTTTTTTGTTGTTGAGGTGTGGAAGATTTCTATGTATTTTAGAGGTTAAGCCCTTGTCAGATATGTCATTGCCGATTTTTTTCCCCCAGTCTGTACATTGTTTTCACTCTGCTGGTAGTCTTTTGATGAGCATAATGTTTAATTTTTAGGAGGTCCTAGTTATCTAGTTTATTTTCTGTTGTTGGTATATTTTTAATTAGGTTTGATAGTGTATTTATGCCATAAATCAAGATCCCTAGCTTTGTCCTTATGTTATCTTCCAGGAACTTTATTTATCATTTTAGCTTTAACGTTCAGGTCTTTGATCCTTTATTTGGTTTTTGTGTATGGTGTAAAGTATGGATTTTTTTTT